TCGAGTCACCTTTCGGTAAAAGTCGTGATCTTAGTCCGTACCTGGTGACCTTTTTGTGACGTGCTCTGGAGTCTGGATTCCGTCACATTAACATAAAGGCTCGAGCAGCACAAGGTTTAATAAACAGAAGTACTCTGTCTCTGGAAGTGATCACTCTTTTATGCACAAGGGAAATAAAAAGGCACAAAATAGTATGAATGTTGTGTAGTGTTTCCAGCGCAGTGAGAAGAACACGGGGCTCCGTGTTCCACATATCTCACGTGGTATCAGTAATGGTCCTGTCATGTCTGAATAAAGCTATTACGGAACATGTACGAGATGGAGACCAATGTTTGAAGGCCAGAACAACATAATTCTACCTGATGGATGAAGCCAGCGGTACTACACATTCCTTGTCTGGAAAAGGTTCATTTTGTTGGCGCAAACTACCTGAAGTAGAAATCAACATGTAGCAGCAGCGCTTGTGAGTCGTGTTTGCCGCTTCCTCACATCTGCTCACCGCACCTGAGAACGGCTGGGGAGGGAACATGCACCTGGTCGACTCCCGGCTCCCAACATGGCGGCTCGTTTGGAAACGTTGTCTTGTATTTTGAAAAGAGCTCACTAAAATGTGTTTTTTGAAAATATTTGAGGCCAGAAGAAATCTTGAATCTGTTTTAATTTTAGATTTGACACATTTTAGATGGAGCAAGGTTCGTTTCCAGAGGTGGAGAGTCGCAATAAGCAATGGTTTATGGGATGAGTAATTCATGTACAAGTGTTCAGCTCCGAATTTTTTATCGTCACAATTCATCTCACAGTTGATTGGTTCAATGCTTAAAACCTCAATGGAGTGAATGAATGGGAAACTCATCTCCGGACCAGCAGCTGCTCAAAAGGTGGACAAGCACTGATGAGCTCGTTAAACATTACTCATAACTATAACTTCATTCTCTCAACACAGCATGAGCCCGTCGTCCACTGCTGCTTTGTTAAATACATTGATTTGTTTGGTTCAAGACATAATTCTCACATATGCTCCTTCAGCTTTTGCTACACAAGTTCTTTGAAGTTCACAGAGCTGCATTCACCTTTTAAACTATCTTCCTTTCATATCTCAATTTATCTTTCTCATACCTGCCCGGGAAAAAAAAACAGTTCCCCTCTTCCGTGTCTGTGGTTGCAAGGAGACGTGTCTCAGTCACAAGCATTACAGATATACCTCCTGGATGAGCGCGTGAACACGGCGGGGGCGGTCATAGTGATGTATGGCTGCAATCCCGCCGCTGCAGCGTGACGCGGCCGTCAGTTGCCATAGGAGACGAGATGATTTATATGCCTGCTCTCTGCTAATGGCCCAATATCAGTGATGTTAATGCTAATGGCCTGATCCAGCAGCCGTATGCAAAGAAATCTGCTACTCATTGATACAAATGACACTTTAACTAGCTTGGCTTTTCATGATTTGATGTTTGTAATGATAAAAAATGATATCATGTTTACAGCTATGACCAGAGGGTAAGGGAGGGGGATTATTCCATCTGTTAAAAAGAGGCCGATTGTTCCTCCAACTCGTCGTTGAACCGCTACGTCTCTCCCACTACGGCGCGTGATGGATGTTTCCTCTTGCTCATGTGTCCCACTGCAGTTGTCCATATGTTGTGCTTCATCTGCCATGGACTATTTGTTGCGGCGGATAAGACGCCGGGTCGTCGGCCAGGGAAGCAAGATGCATGTGCGCCGTTTGATAGGCCGTGCAGTGCATCGTAATGAAAGAGCCTTTGTACACGGGTGACTTCCTCGGGGCAGAGGAGATGGGCGTTATTGATTTCGGCAGAAGATGAATGGAGAGGAGTCAATATATTCTGGGCTTTAAAGAAGAATACGAACAGTATGGAAGAATTCTCTTGAGCTTAATTAAAGTGCTCGGGGGTGTTTGAGTGGAATGTTTTATCTAGTAGATGACTGGTTCTGCAGTGCTTTAGAAAACTGTTAAGAATTGGGCTCAACACAGACTTTTAAAAGTGGTGTTTAAAAGTGAAAATATGGTTGCCATTTTTTGTCACAATAAATATTGAATAATTAAGAAACTATGTACTTATACGTCAGCTTAATAATGAGAATCCTTTGAATGGCGGGTGCTCCGGTTCTTGCAGCCTCCTCCTCAGTATGCCTCGAGCTCCAGTGCTGGTCCAGCCCTCGTGGTTCTGTAGGACGGGCTATCTTTAACTGGAGAGCTTGAAGCGTCCCTTATCGAGGTGTAGTACAATGTTTGCCTGCATCAGTTTCCGTCCAGCTCCAAGATGCCGGGATACTTTCCCCTCTCGAAATGATCCTTCTTTTCGTTCAGGTTCTTTATCAGTGGGATCAACTTGCTTCGTTTGTGATGTTGACGGGTCAGTTGAAATATTCACCCCACAACCCAATTGTCTTCGCCATTGTGAGTAAAACCGATGCAGCAACAAATTCCCAACATTGTCATGTGCAGCCTTGTCTGGTTCTGTAACAGCAATATTTAAACGGCATTAATGCAACAAATATTTGTTTGCTGTCCCTATTTTAATACATTAAAATGTTGTTGCCATTGATAGCAACCAAAAGCTAAGAATTGGTTGCCAATTTCTCAAAATGGTTGCCAATGACGAACCTTACTGTCGATCCCTGCATCAATAACGCAGCTATTTCTGAATTGCCTCCCCTTGCTTTGCCCTCTGTAAATAATCTTTTAGACCGTTTCTTTGACAAAAATGTCGAGCGGCGTTGCGCCTGCTGGGGTGCAATCATCCTCTGGTAGAATCCGTAATGATCCAGAGAGAAGAATGCCCAAAATCTGAATGCAGATGGTGAAAATCAACCTTTAAATTCATCTTGATATTCTTTTTTTTTAAAGAGAACTACGTAATCCTTCTTCTCTAACATCATCAGCAGCAATGCCATTAATGTACATACTCTTGTAATAGGCTGATCTGACTCACTGCAGAATAGCTCTCTTTTATCAGGTGATATTCCTGAAGCCTTGAAATCTCTCTGGATACCAACTTACAGACCAATATCAGACCTTCCCTTTGTAAGTAAAAGAACTGAAACACTTCTTCATCTCAAATGGTAGCTTTGATGAGTTCAAATCACCCACATTTACTCCGCTCTGTCGCCAAGCAACTACGGTCCCACATATTATCTCTGCAAGACAATTGAGCAAATAAGTGACTGCATGGGCCTGAACAGTCTCCATTTAATTGCAGACAAAACCAGAAAGAGACAAAACCAAAAACCAAGTGAGGAATCTTGGCGTGAACTTGAACATTCATGTTGAATCAATTACAAAGTCTGCATTCTACCACCTTAAAAAGAAACTTAGCAAGGATCAAAGGGTTCACATGACTAACCCACGCTTTCACTTACACTAGTCTAAGCTCTCTCCAAAGAAACATTCAGAATGCTGCTGCTAGAGTACCACAGAGAGGCTGTTGAGCTATACAATGTAGGCTATATATAGTGGATGTATATGTTAGGGATGTCAACGGTCAACTGTTAATTCAAGAACATTTTTGACCGGTTACGCATGTCGGCCTATTGGTTTATTTACAGACTATATGTGGCCTGGTGTGTGTGTGTGAAACAGCTGGAGACTCACACATAGCTTTTGTATGTGTGTGTCCAGCTGTTTATCTCAAAAGTGAATGAAAGAGCAGACGTATTAGTATCTCGAATGTTTCAGTTCAGAATGGATGTGTCATCTGGCCAGCTGTTCTGATCGGCCTGTGTAGAGACCACCGATCAAACTGTCAGCCGATATCGATCGGAGCACCCTGATCAAAATGCGGCAATAATCTTCAGCAAAGCATGCAGAAAATAGAATAAAAGGTTAGAAATGAGAAATGGCTCAATTGGATTGACCTATCGCCAAAGCGCAGTGTGTCAGTGCAGCGCTGGAGTAAAAGACAAGTTTAGTTTTTCAGTAAAATATAAATAAATAAATCTTAAAATGTAACCTATAGTTAGCCGGCTAACAGTGGTGAAACACTTCGTCTCACCACTCTCCACTAAAGGCTGCGCTTGTACAAACAGCTTTATTGGCTTCTCTCTTTGGTTGTGAACAGAGGCTGCTGTTGTGTCTGATGGAGTCTGAGACAACAGTTGGATTATGCCTCATTATGCATGAATCATGCCCTACTCATTGCCAAATTAGGCCATTTCCCACGTGATAAAACTTGAATACTCCTAATTACAGAATTGCCCTTTCTCTGCGAGGTTACAGCTTCTAAATTAAGAAATTAATCCTCTATTAGTCGTCATCCTCACAGCTTTCTCCCCGTTTGATCACTTCATGATCTCCGTGCGGTCTTGACGAGGCGGTAGGTGCCACGTCTCTTTGTACTGTTTTAATTAGACGTGATGAACAGCAATGGGGTGTCGTCTCCGTTCTCATTACAGACGCGTTGCCCTGCGTGGTTTTATACATCATCGGAATGCGATCCGCCGTCCGTGTCGTGCAGGAACTCTGTGCTACAAAGAGAGAACGTTGCAGGAATTGATGAAAATTGGTTTTAGGTTTGATGCAATTTCCAAAGAGACGTATCTGGGGTAGGGCACTGATAAGAAAAGTATAAATGTTCAGTATATTCAAGTGAGATGTTGGCCTTCGCTTTCATCAAACACTGAAGACTTGCCTTCAACCACTTCCCTATTTCCAAATAGAATTTATGTTAATGTCCTGTGTGCGTTTTTTTTCCTGTAGATCGGCTCCACTTTGATCTAACACCGGAGACTTTGCTCGCTTCTGTCTCCTGTCATCGAAGATAATATTAATATTTATCAAATATTCCTCCCGATTCTTCAGCTGAAGTAAACAGGAATGAGATGTAGAGGCGCCCTTTGATCAAACGCTATGACAGTAAATAACATTAAAAAATAACACATTAGAAGCTTTTTCCCTGTTTGTTTTTTCCAGACGAGGTGGCGAACTCCCCTGCAAGGACTGCATTCATATGCATGTGTTTGTCTTCTGTGTGTTGCTGCAGGTATGGTGAACTACAGCGAGGTGTCCGGCTACCCGCTTGTTCAGCACTGGAGTCTTCGCTCGGTGCTCTACCACGTCAAACTCAATCAGTGGGTCCTCTCTCAAGGTAAATCACTCTGCGCTTCTTACAATTCATGATCTATTTATGCATGTTATTATATTGTTCATTTATGCTGCAGGAGACTACACGTTCGGTCGGGGGTCTCTGTGACATAAACTCTCACGCCGTCGGCCATCTATTATTCATCCCATTGTAATTAATGTGACACAAGAAGGTTAGCGGCTCATCATAACAACTCGGCTGCTTTGTTTAACTCATTCGTTTTGATTAGCTATGTGATTCCTTTTTCCTTTTGGCTGCCGAGTAGTCCCATCTTGTGCTTTAAGTAACTGTAGTGACATCATCGCTCATCATTCTTTCAACCTTTTTATTTTCAGTTTACACAGGTTATGTGCGACATGCCACTCACAAACAGAACAGCACGCAACATACCTGCCAACCACACAAACAACCAATCCCAGACACAGAAATACAAACAACAAAAACATAGACCATCATACTCCTACTAAATACCAATGAACATTGTGAACCTAGCTCCCCGGGTGTCCCCCGGAACCCGAAGTTACAAAAACCTCCCTCCTACACACATCCACACATTTTACATGCCAAATATTGTCCTCCACATGAATAACATACAACATACCTGCCAACCACACAAACAACCGATCCTGGACACAAAAATACGAACAACAAAAACAAACAAAACAAACAAAAAAACATAGACCATCATCCTCCAACTAGATACCAATGAACAGTGTGAACCTAGCTCCCCGGGTGTCCCCCGGAAACCGAAATTACAAAAACCTCCCTCCTACACACATCCACACATTTTATCTGCCAAATATTGTCCTCCACTTGACTTACATACAACATGGCGGCCAACCATACAGACAGTCGCACACAGTGACAAACAAAATACTGTGGACTTTCTTCCTTCACTGAGTCACTTGGATCCCACGGTTGCAAAACCTCTTAGTATGACTTTAGCATATTCCTCTCCAATAAAATACATAACAGGGTTCCAAACAGAGAAGAACCCATCTATGTCTCCTTGGAGAACATGTGTGAGCCTTTCCAGTGGGATTAATTGTAGAACATTATAGAGCCAACTTGAAGCAGATGGTTTTGCATCATCTAGCCAGTGCTGTAAGATAGATAACCGTGCACAGGACCAGAGAAGACTGAGGCTTCTTTCATATCTGTTTAATACAGGTGAGGCAGCGTCTAGACCTAGAATGCATTGTAGAGGATGGAGCTCAATAGGACACTGTGTTATGGAGGATATTTGGTTACCAATTTCAACCCAAAATGTATGAATTACCGGGCAGAACCACATTAAGTGCACGTAGGTGCCTACATGCTGCTTGCACCTTACACATACTCCGGAGCAGTCCTTGTCATATTTGCTCCTGCACTATGGGGTAGCTTGTAATTTATGTACGATCTTAAACTGAGTTTCTTGGGATTTGTAATTACTACATATTCTTTTGCTATTTAACATGATTGCTTTCCATTGGTGATCCGTGATTGCAGTTTAAAGATCTGGTTCCCATGATTGCCTGCAGCTGTGAGTACTTATATTGCTTAAAGAGAACAATTTATGGTAAATGTAGCTTATTTCTTTGTTCTTCAGCTGACAGACCTGGTGAATGATTGTCTCTATCTGCTCTGGTCCATGACCTTCCTTATATTGGGCTATAGAGTTTAAGAAACTGCGTATTTGTAAAAATCGGAAGAAGTGATCATCTCGGGTAGCCCGTACTCTTCCTGAAGTTGATTGAAAGATTTCATAGTGCCACCTTTATAGAGATCATTTTCCACACATTGCAAACTAATTGGTCTATATGAGGAAGGTTCCTCTGGGTTTTTACCTGGCTTTGGTATGAAGGCAATTGCCGCCGTCTGTGTTGATTCAGGTAGTTTTTGGTTCAGGAAGGAATATTTGTACATTTTACTTAAGAGTGGAATAAAAATGTCTTTGAATGCTTTGTATATTTCTGGGGGAAAGCCGTGTGGGCCGGCTGCTTTCCCAGAGGGGATGTCATCAATAGCTTCCTCTATCTCTGTAAATGTGTTTGGCTTATTTAAAGCCAGTTGTTGTTGATCATTAATTTGTGGTAAGTTTAAATGTTTTAAAAAGCTTTTTATTTGAGAGTTGCTTTTATGTATTTCTGATGTATAAAGTGATTTGTAATAATTGGTAAATATAGCATTCATCTCTTCAGATTTAAAACAACATTCTCTGCTCAAGGTTTTCAGACATGAGACAGAGTTATGGCTATTATGGTTAAAAGTTTAGAGAGTAGGTTTCCTGGTTTGTTCCCATATTCATACAACCTTCGCTCATCTTTCAATGATAAGCTTATTTTAAAAGTCATCAAAAGCAGTTTCAGGGTGGGTTTTTATCCCGACACGTAGAAAGAACTCAAAAAGGTAGTTGGTGCAGTTTAAAACTGTTATAATGCCATTAATCACAAACAAAGTTGTTTTTGACAATGTATTTAAAAAATAAAATAAAATTATAATAAGAATGGAATCACTTTATCCAAATTTCTTCCAGGTGCCCACACATGTTGCCAGTATTGAAACATATTTACATTTTTACAACCTGTCTTGACCGAACAGTTTTAATTTTGGGCATATGACTGTTGGTCGCACCTGAGTCATTCATGGCAGAATCATCCACAGAATCTAATGTTTTTTTACAGAATCTAGTTAATGCAATGTTTAGTTTAGTGAGATTTTAAATGAAACATAAAGTGATTTTGTCTAAATATAACTATTTTTAAGCTTTATTTATTTGTATATTTGACGATAATTAATGTTTTTTACAGTTTCTTGGTATGATAGTGTAATTTTATTATTATTTTTTTTTTTTTTTAATTAAGAAAATGTGACTTTCGGGTTGTGGGTCTCAGATAAGTAAAAGTTCAAAGCTAGCTTGACAATATATGAAATAAAAATAAAATAAAAACGTAAAGTAAAAGTACTCATTCGACAGAATTCAAAATATACATTCTTGAAATGATAATAAGTGTAATTAAATGTGGGTCTTTTTCACTATTTCCACTGCCTGGTAGCAGTCAAGTCTTATCCTTATTCTTTATAATAAATCATAATGCATTTGTGAGTTGTATGTCGTATTATTAAACTCTATCTGCAGTTATGATTAATGAAAGCTAGCTAATACATGTGGAGGAATACAAAGTACAAAGTGTGCCTCTAAATGTAGGCCTGGTGGAGGAGAAGTATTGAGTAGCATGAAATGGAAACACTCAAGTTGAGTACAAGTACCTCAAAATTGTACTTAGGTACAGTACTTGAGTAAATGGAAATGTCTGAGGATAAAACAGTCTCCTGTTATCAGCAGCAGTTTTATGGTAATACAGTTCTTGAACATGTAAAGACCGTCACCTCAGGGTGCAATGGAGGCAATGTTGTGATGCAGTGTTAAAAGGTTCAAGTTGGGTCCATTATATCAAATTAAACCCTTGTTGAAACAGTCAATTATGCAGCGATTGTGGCGGTGCTGCTCAGCTGCAGTCCTCGGAGAGAGAACCCTGAAAGGCAGTAAATGGGTCAGGGTCGAGTTCCCTTTAATCACAAATTAGCAGAATGTCACTTCAAAAGAGCACAAACCAAAAAAAAGCCGCTCGTCAAGCAGAGCCAAACAAGAGGGCCCTCCGACTGTTCTAATCACAACCTCAACGGCTCTGTTAATTGTATAATGTATACTCATGTTTAATGTACAGCAGATCCAGAGGCACACATCTGTCTTGGGGTGCTTATGAAGACAGGTGTGTATGGACAAAAGGAACATGATTCTCTCTCAGCAACCACATATTAATAAAAATGCATGGGAGTAATTGACCTTTCTATTACTCCATGTTATAAGTTACTGTAATAAACATAGCTTGGGGTGTCCAACATTGTAACATCCTATTATTTACAGAGGAGATAATCTGAATTGGAGTCGGTCCTGGATAAAGCAGTAAAGGTCTTACAGACATCTCTCACACAGCTTTCCTACTAAGCAGTACTTGTTTAAAGTGGGGTTGAGCTGTCAGCATGTCCAAGGTCAAAGGGGCGGAGCTCTGTCCAGTCCAGTGAAGACGCCACTAACTGTCTTTGTGGATTCACATGTATCGTCGGATACACAGAGCAGGTGTTGGTAGACACCTGGCTTCAGGATGATTTTGTCCAAAGATGAAGCAATTATAAAAACTGATTTTATCATTGCGGCACAGCAGGTCGGCCATTAAATCGCTGCTTGGTACCGGTTCAGTTTTCCAACAACAAACTGGAAAATATCTAAATGAGAACAAGCGCTCGGGTGTGTTAAAACACAGTAGAGATGATTTCAGAGAGCAGGAGGAAGTGTAGCAGACTGACATGTGGAGCAAAGTGTGGCGGTGAAGTTAACACCATTGCTTTATTCCGTTTTCGGGCATCCGTGATGTCGACATCGCCGCTCATACAGCACAGCTGTTGTCATTAACCTGCATTTATGTTGAACATAAATGATTTGGCGAGCCGGGCCGGCTCCCTCTCTCCTCACCAGATGTTGGCTGTGATGCAGCAATGCTGTTTGCCAACTGAGACGAGGAAGAACAAGAACATATGTAGCCGTTTTGATGTGGTTAGGTTCCTCTGTGGGCAGGGGTCTCTCCAAAAATGTCCTGTAAACGCTAGTTTGGTGGCTTTCACATGGAAAACTGGACGAGCCTCAATGTGTATCATGTAGTCTGAGAGAAAGAGTTTGGAGCCATGTATACCAGCTGCTGTAACAAGACACAACAACAGCAAAACCGATCTGTTGGCTGACACGAAACAATATGATGATGACATTAACAATTGGCAACCGGTACAGCCGGCAAAAAAAAGTGATCTCTAAAATGTATATTCCCTTGTTTGTTCTGCTGATCAAATATGTTGCTCGAAACCATGATCCGATCCAAACCGTGACTTTGGATCTCCCCCCCCCCCCCACCACTACATATGGAAGGAAAAACCACTTCCCTAGTGTGAGTTTCTCATTTCCATATGTGCTTTTTTTATTCTTTTTCTTTTCAAAACAATCCACCGTGTGTTCTCTGGTGCTGGTGGTTTATTACTTTTAAGCCCACATACACATACTAATAAGTCCACATCCATTATTTACTTATGTGTGCAGAAGAGTTCTTCATTGGCTCTATTTCAGTCTGAGAAGTACAGATTTAAAACTTACTACAGATGGTAGAACCGGCTCATTGTGACAGCAGTGATTAAGGCATATGATTAAGTTCTCTCACATTGGCATCATCATGTAAAACTAAGATCGCTTCAGAATCCAGCTTGGTTTTATATCACAGGACCGTGTTTAAAAATGAAATAATGGAGTTGGATAGAAAGGAGGTCTGCATTCACAATATGTGTAAATCATTTCCTTCCCTGTGTCTGTCTGATAGCCTGTCGTACATGCATCACTTTGGCTTTGCATCCACAGAGAGACCAAGGAGTTCTGACAGCGCCTGCCATGCAAACTTCACAGAATAAGATAACTGTGGAGAGGTATTTAGTGAAGCAATGCTTCTTCTGAAGGCTGCTCCCGGCTGCCGACACGTCGAGATGACGCTGAACATTTGCCTCACGAGATAACTCGGGTTGTCCCGTCGGCAAGTGAAAATCTCTGGAAATATTACATTTGTTTATTCTCCCTGACTGGAAGGACAGTGCGATTTAGTCATTTTTTTTTTTTTTTTTTGCCGTGTTTTAAATGCATGCATTATTCATAAGATCCATCATGAACAGTCAGCCCTGCTGTAAATACAGCCATGACACCTCTAATGCGTTTCCAACGGTGCCGCTGGGCTTTCAAAGTGACTGCCACGTCTGCCGAGGAAACCGTTTATATTTCCCCTTCGCTCAGAAGCGTCCCAGCAGAATTTATTTATTTTTTCCCATTTTGTCTCTTCATATTGTAACAGCCAGCGGAGGGGGTCAAGGCAACTGATTTTTAACCTCCGATGGCGAAGCCTCCATTGCTCATCTCTCTGTCTCTCACTCCACCGGCCCCCTGATTGGATGTCAGAGGAGAAGTACACGAGCGCCGAGGTATTAATACTGCTTCTCCCCAAAATGATAATGACGAATTGCTGTTTTGCTATATTTACTAAGATGGAACCCCAGTGAGCGCGTGGTCAGTTTGTCACAGATGGGATCAAACACGTCTCCCGGCAACACGGCAGTGGACGGTGTTGTCACATGCAGTCAGAAGTGCCATTAGAAACCATTTTTATTGTCACATACATATACACAAAATTTGACTTCTGCATTTGACCCATCCCTATATATAGGAAGCAGTGGGCTGCCAATGATAGGGGCCTGGGGAGCCGGGGGTTCAGTGTCTTGCTCAGGGACACTTCGACACGTGACACGTCCCAGTCGAGGATCGAACGTTGACCCTGCGGTTACCAGACAAGCCTCTTAACCCAGCGAGCCATGGTCGCCTACTTTGAGCTACATTTTAGCATTAAACATTAAAGTTACAGCCCAAGTCCTGCCACAACAGGCGACTCCAGCCATTAAGAGTCGATTTCTGTTCATTTGTGACCGATGTCAAACATAACATGCACTTCTCTGTGAGTGACGGCTGACTGATAGAGCAAGGAAAAAGAGGCTGATATGAAAATGAAGACAGCGTCGCAGTACAAAGAAGAATTTCTTGCATTCTGTATGAAGCTTAAGCTCAAAGCTTCACGTCAAGTGTCCCGTACCTGCTACGTAAAGTCCTGCATTATCTATTCATTCACACCAAATCGTGTGTCCCAGGTCTTCATCAGGTGATCTGATTCTGAGCCTTTGCTAAAACACACACAACCTTGATTTAAAATAGTTTTAAATCAACAGGATGTCCCTGTGTAGGAGTGTGATGAGATTTGTTTTGTCCTGTGCTCGTTCATGTCCATATGTGGTCACTGCGGATGATGTTTGTTTGAAAGGATTCATGCATAGTAAGCAGCCGGCTCAGACGTCCACTAAACCCGTTTAAGACACTCGCTTCCAGACAGACTCCCATTCCAGCCGCTGTCATTTCCAACGCCTTCAGTCGGTGCAGTTAATAACGTGAGGCAGACCTGGATTTAACAGGATAATGGGGGTCTTTAATGCTCAAGTGGACATCTGTGCTCTGCTGAAGGACATCACATTGACGGCATGTCATCATCACGCACACTTTGATGATTCTATTAGTTATTCTAATTATTACAAGGTGACACCCAAACATGAATAGGCAAACAGTAATTAAGCATATTATATTGTGCTGTATTGACATGTCATTGGACTCTAAAACCTTGACTTAAAACAATTTAACATACAAATGATTGTAGCTGTGGTTTCTCTGAATTTTAAACCTTTTATACCTTTTATAGCCACGTTAGTGTTGTGGCTCTGGGGATTGCATGTCAGTCAGTCCAACACTTTGTTTACAGACTGAGATATGGCAAAAACTATAAGAGTGATTGAAGGTGACTTTTGTACAGACATGTATAGTCCAAAGATGATGATATTTTTTTGGATCCCATGACTTTTTTCGGGTAGCGCCGCCAGAAAGTCCAAGTTTTCTCTCATCCATTGGACTAACTCAACATCACCAGATAGACATTAATACTTCCCAGATAATGTTTCCTAATGACTTTAGTGATCCTCTCATATTTCCTCCATGAGGTTGATATTTGTCGTTTTGAGTCAAATGTATTGACACCTATTGGATGGAACCCAATGGAATTTAGTCCATGCGTTCATGTTCCCATCAGGATGTAATCACGTTGGTGATTTTTATAAAGTGCCGACCAACCTACAAACTGTAAAATAAGACAACAGTTTTTTGTAGACTGGATCACAAAACATTTGGCTCCCCTTCATATGTCACGTGAAAGCTTATCAGAACCCCCCCCCCATCCGAGTATCTCTACCCACGGCTTGAGAACTACCTTGGCAACGGTACGCCATCATTTTCTGGGTGGGGGGGGTGGGAGACAGGCGCTAAAACGGAGCGTTTCAGACAGAGTGTGAATACAGGCATATTCTTCCAGACAGTATGAGACAAATAGTGTTTCTTGAACATTAAATCATATAAACATGTTCTTGTAGAAACCCAAAATACAAGTATGAAGCTGTAAACGAGCATCTTGTGTTATCAGGTTATGCGTGCTGAACTACAGCTGTCCTATCAGCTGTGTTTAATGCCAATTAGCAATTATTAGCATGCTAACACACCAAACCAAGATGGTGAACATGGTAATCATACTGACTAAACATCAGCATGTTAGCACCATCAATGTGAGCATGGTAGTAGAAAGTGCCACTGTGCCTGAACACAATCATGCTCGAATGAGTTCCACTCCACTCTACTACTAATAGCTGCTGCTAATAATAATAACTATGTATATTATCACACAAATGACATAATGTTGCAGATGCTTTCAATCATTAGCATTAAAAATGATCCACTTATCCAATTTATCATTAAAATAATTGTCCCCACATCTGCTATTTGTTTGCTATTCATTCTGAAAACCTTTATTAGCATTTTAACTTCACTTTCTTTATTTAGAGTAACCTTAAACCAAAGAAGCAGGCCACTACATTTTTAGGAAACTGAAGGTGGGGTATGTGCAGTGGGAATATACATGGCTGCTAATCTTACTCTGTGATGTAGAGTAGCTGTTGTAAGGGTTCCCTTTAGTTAGTTAGTAAGTGGCCGTAAGTGCTACAGCTTCTGTGTCTTATTGGAAAGACAAATCAACAAATCTACTCACATGACGTACCACAAGACGGGGAGCGGCTGAGCAAACCAAACACACTCCTATATTTTCCCTCTGACACCAAACTGACCTTTCTCATCCCAGGTTTTGTTTTTCTGACAAAATTGAATTTGTATTTTCTTTCCACCATCTACCCAGCCTTCAGCTCGGCCATCCATTCTCTGGACGGGGCGACGCAGCGGGCCGACTTTGTCTCCATCCTCAGAGAGTTCGGGAACCACTACGTGCAGGAGGCGATGTACGGCTTCCAGGAGTCCTGTACCATCTGGTACCCCAACAAACAGGTCCAGAGACAGCTGTGGCTGGAGTACCAGGACATTAGCAAAGGTAGGACACACGCACTCGAGTGTCAATGAATGCTACCGAGGAATGTAAACGATGAACAGTAATTACTGGCCCTCAGGTGTGGTTGTGACGGTGTGGGATGTGTGAGGATTAATTCCTGCGGTTATTTATGTGTTCATTGACTCACACACCCACGAAACACATTGAGGCTTGTAATGCTGAGTGTGTGTTGGGCTGGACTGGATTATTATGTTACACATTTACAATTTGCAGGACTCTTGATCATACTTCGGCTGCACAGTGAATGCTTGCCAGGAGAAATACTTAAACCTCGCGTGGGACCACTTTTAACAAAGCTCTTCTCTTGTTCCCTTTCTTTCGGTGGTACCCGTGCTGTAGAGGAAAGTAATGGCCTCCCAGGGTGGCAGTGTTGCAGAAATGCTCTTGGGACACTTGTTTCAACCATTAGTTTGTTTTTTCATCTGCACTCTTTGTGGAATCACCCCTCTTCGATTGTTTAGTTTGGTAGGTCTTTCATTCAATTCAATAGCATTTTTATTAATCCACAAAGGCAAATTGTATTTTGGGCATGAGTAAAAAGAGACAGGAAACAGACAGGGTTGGTTTGTTGTGTGGGCACCATAAACCATGCAACAGACACAGAGGAGCACTTCTCATTTCTATTCCTGCGTATTTCACCTCAATCATTTTTAGTATTGACTGAAATGTGTCCGAAAATGACTGAAAGCTGGTGTCGGATGTTTGGAAAGATTTACAACATTAAGATGATGTCATGACAAAACCCCCGAGCCAACACCACTCACACAACACGATATGCACGTGCAATATTCATCAAACATCGGAATAAAGTATCTTTTAAAGGCCTATCCTAAATCCTTCACAGCAGTTGTGCTGGCTTCTTCACACTAGCTCATCTAGTTGTGAAGTTTTTAGATGAATATTTCACTTTAGCTATCCTGGCAGCAGATTCTGTTCTGTCTTTTCAAAATAAACTTCCATTTTCAAATGAAACAACTTTAGGTTTAGTGAAAGTGGTTTGGTTTAAAGCAGTGATTTTCAACTGGTGGGTCGCGAGCCAAAAGTGGATCACATCACATGATGCAGCTCATCCAATCAAATATGGGTATTCTGACGAGTTTCCTGACTTGAGTGAGATGTACACACACCGTGACACACGGGGGAGAGACGAGGATATACAGTAAGACCTTACAGCTCACAGTGCATGTCAGAGCAAATGAGAATCATGAGGTCGAAGGAACTGCCCAAGGAGCTCAGAGACAGAATTGTGGCAAGGCACAGATCTGGCCAAGGTTACAAAAGAATTTCTGCAACACTCAAGGTTCCTAAGAGCACAGTGGCCTCCATAATCCTTAAATGGAAGAAGTTTGGGACAACCAGAACTCTTCCTAGACCTGGCCGTCCAGCCAAACTGAGCAATCGTGGAAGAAGAGCCTTGGTGAGAGAGGTAAAGAAGAACCCAAAGATCACTGTGGCTGAGCTCCAGAGATGCAGTAGGGAGATGGGAGAAAGTTCCACAAAGTCAACTATCACTGCAGCCCTCCACCAGTCGGGGCTTTATGGCAGAGTGGCCCGACGGAAGCCTCTCCTCAGTGCAAGACATATGAAAGCCCGCATAGAGTTT